GGATAGAAGTAGGTTTTTGGGAAATAATGATGAATTTTGTTGCCACTTTTATCTTTGACATAGAGAAAACAAGGCTGATTATAATATAAATTGAGAATTTAGCTCTCGATAAACAGTATTATTGCCTGGCTTTCAATTTTTTAGATCTATATTAAAATAAAGTAGTTCTGATAAAGACAATTATATAAACATATTTATTACAAAGAAAAAAACTGATTAAATTTCTACTTTCCAGGATTTAATTTTCACCAATGAAATACAACATCAATATATGCTGCTGCAATATAGTTAGATTAGAACTAGTGAACTGGACATTGGATAAGGTTCCAAAGTCCATTTGGTTTACTGCATTGATTAAATGAATGATACAGAAGCAGCAAGTCTAGATATTTTTCACATATGCTTCAGTTTACAGAGACCTAGTAATCCAATCTGCTTAAGTCTGCTACTCAAGAAAGTAAATACATAAAATGATTTATTTGACTTATTTACAAAAATGATCACAAAATTAAATTTAATAAACACGATGATTTGTGATTATAAAACTGGTTATTTTAAAATAGAAAAGGTTATTACTACAATTCAAAAGTAAAAAACTTTTACACATTGATTTATGTAACCTAGAGAATACCTAAGGCACAACATGAGGAATGGTTAGAAACATATGCAACATTAAAAACCATTCTATTCAGTATTATACTATGAGTAATTACGGTAATTATAATATAAATGTACACTTGATCTAGGAACTCAACTGAATATAAAAAAAACTGAATATATAAAATTCTGCTGAAGACTGAAAAAAATTTTAACCCAAAGGAAACAAAACTTGACATCTTCATTTATAAATGAGTGCCAAAAACATTTTAAATAAACAAAATGTATCAACTACTTATAAAAAGCTTTATAACTCTGAGGCAAGTTTGTGATAAAATAGATGCAATTTTTCCAAAATTGTAACTAAAATATATTTTAACGTCACAAATATCTTTTGATTTTTAGTTTCTGGTTAGTTTTTTTGATACATAATTTTTGCAAACCTTACAAATACAATTGAGATTCTCATAAATGACATCCACACACAGAAGTTAGAGATAGAACATGAAAAATAATCTCAGACAGATAGATCCCAGCATCCTCCAGATTAGATTGTTTCTAAAGAGATTTAATATAGATGAACTATTAATATACTCTGACCAAATCTTTAAATATTTAAACATATTAGTTATCTACTCAAAAACCTTCCCTATTGCTGATAGAACACAAACTTAGTGGCTTTTAAAAATACTAATTTAGGGCTGGCCCGGTGGCGCACTCGGTAGAGTGTGGCGCTTGGGAGTGTGGTGGCGCTCCCGCCGAGGGTTCGGATCCCATATAGAGACCAGTCCGCTCACTGGTTGAGCGCAGTGCGGGCGCGACACTGAGGGTTGCGATCCCGTTGCCGGTCACGGTATGGGCGCAACACTGAGGGTTGTGATCCCGTTACTGGTCACGAAAAACAACAAAAAGGAAAAAAAAAATACTAATTTAGGGCTGACCCCGTGGCTCACTCGGGGTATGGGCGCAACACTGAGGGTTGTGATCCCGTTACTGGTCATGAAAAACAACAAAAAGGAAAAAAAAAATACTAATTTAGGGCTGACCCCGTGGCTCACTCGGGAGAGTGTGGTGCTGGGAGTGCCGAAGCCGTGGGTTTGGATCCTATACAAGGATGGCCGGTGCACTCACTGGCTGAGCGCAGTGCGTGCAATACCAAGCCGAGGGTTGCGATCCCCTTACCGGTCACAAAAAAAATAAAAATAAAAATAAAAATACTAATTAATCTTAATATTCTGGAGGTCAGAAGTCTGGAATGGGTCTCACTGGGCTAAAACCAAGATGCTAACTGGGATGCATTCCTTTCTAAGAGGCCTAGGGGAGAATCAATTTTTTGGCCTTTCCCCACTTTGTTGGACAAGGAGATTGTCTGATTCCTTGGCTCATGGCTCACTTTTGTATTCAAAGCTAGCAATGACTGATTGAGTCTTTCTCAAATTGCATTACTCTCACCTACTCTTCTGCCTCTGTTCTCTACATTTAAGAATCCTTGAGGTTACACTGGGCTAACCTGGATAATTCAGGACCATCTCCCTATTTTAACATAACTAATCAGCAACCTTAACTCCATCAACAACCTTAATTCCCCTTTGCTACATAACAAAAGATATTCAAAGGTTTTCAAGATTAAGATGTGGACATCTTTGGAAGGGACATTATTGCTCCTACCATGGCTTCCCAGTGTCCAACAGACCCATCCTGGCTGTCAAAGATGTCTACACTATTAGCCCCAATTTACTCTCCTGCCTTACCATCAAGACTTTGCTATGTGCCCTTTGTTCCAGGCAAACCAGTCTATTTGCTGATCCCTATACTCACACATCTCATAGACTTGCATCTGGCATTTCTACTCCCTTGATGTGTTCTTCATTCCTCCCTACCTTTCCTCACCAGCAAGATAAATATTCTATTCATTCTCAAACACTTATGGCAAATGTTTTTTTCTCCGTGAAGATTTTTCCCTTATCTTTCTTTTCTGGATGTTCATATCATATAGCTTGTACCTCCCTGTAGAACTTGACATTTTGCCTTGTTTGATAGTTATGTGTGTTCTTATCTCCTTTGCTAGAAGATAACTTCTTTAAGGGCAGAGATTCATGGATTCATCCTCATTAGTATGTCTGTTTGGCACATATAAACTTGATTTTCTTCCACACCCTTGTAAACCTATTCCTCCTCTAGTTTTCCCCATCTAGTAAAAGCACTTCCATTCACCTAGTTGTGCTTGCCGCAAACTTTGGAGTCATCCTCAACTCCTCTTACCCTCTCCCTCATCTCTTATATTCTGTCCATCAGTGAATTTTACCACTGCTACCCACTGTCTAAGACACCACCATCTTTTGCCTGTCCTACTGAACTCCGTTTCCAATCTTGCCTCTGCTGCTCTCGTTCTGCACAAGTGAGCATGTGTGTGTACGCACACGTGTGCACGCACACATGCACACACACGCACACACATTCTGTCTTCAACTCAGCAGCCAAAGAGATTACTTACATTTTTTAAAAGTCTAAGTCTGACTATATCTCAGCCCTGTTCAGTGTAAGATAGCTTACCATCATGCTTAGAATAAAATCCTAAGTCCTTATTACACTCTCTGGACCCCAACCTCATCTTCCACTCTTCTCTGCCTTGTTCACTGTGGTCCAACCTCATTGTGATCCTCACTGTTCCTCACAGAGACCTGGCAGCCACCTGTCTTAGGGTCTTTGCACTTGCTATTTCCTCAGCCTGTGGAACACTCTTCCTCCAGACAGCTACATGATTCATTCCTTTGTGTCCTTTTGGCCTCTGCTTATCCCCTCATGTTCTTTGGGTCTCTGCAAATGTCACTTGATCAGAGCTGCCTTCCGTGACCATCCCGGCCTTTTGCTTTTCTTCTGCCACTATCTCTACTCTTACCCTGAGTTCTCTTTACCCACCTATCATTAAATGACATCACAGTATAAATTTATTTCTTGTCTGTTACCACCCACCAAAATGTAAGCTCCATGAAGGCAGGGACTTAGTTTTAATTTTAATCTATATTCTAGTCTCAAACCTGGAAGCATACATAGCACAGACTGGGCACTTAATAAGTATTTGTTAAATGAACAAATTCATCTTCATATGCTCTCCTGTTTCTTGCCTAGTTCTTTGTTTATAATAGATGCTGAAAAAGCATTTGCTGAATTGAATTTTGTATACATACCAAACATTATTTAATATAATCATCAGAGGAAAAACAACCAAAGAAAGCCAATTCTTCATGGAAAAATAAAGATTACACAGAGGTTGTCACAATTAGGCTTAGCCTTTTATTAAAAAGTTCTGAGGTGATGGACCTCCCTAGAGCACAAAGCATATATCATGTTGAACATTTATTTCAAGGAATGTGCTCAGAAATTACCCCAGCAGGGCACACTGTCTGCACAGTGTGTTGGGGTGGGGTGCACTACAGTGGACGGGAAGGATACCAAGAAGATGGCCATAAGCCATGATGTCCTGTAGTTAGGTATGCCCAGCTTCAGGGATGTACTTAAAGCTTACAACCTCTTCCAGTCCCACCTAGGTTTTTCTTCTCTTAAATGCAGTTCTCTCACTTTCACAGCACTGGTTTCTTAGAAACAGACTTCTTTTTTTATTGAATCATAATTGATTTATATATATTTTGGGGTTCAATGTTGACATATGTTGATCAAATCAATATTACTACTATGCATATTGTTACAAATTGTACTTATTCTTTATGCCCCTTGTCCAATCTCTCCCTAACCTCCTCTCCCTCCCCCTTCCCACCACTGATAATCCTAGATTTCTTCTCCTTCTGAAAGAGTAATGGTTACTCTGTTGATTTGTTGCCAGATAATCTGTCCAATGCTGAGAGGTATGTTCAGTTCCCCCAATATTATTATAGAGCAGCTTCTTCTTCTGTCACTCTGGAATGGGCTTTGTGGAGAGAGACATCTTCCTCTTTTCTCTGGTCTCTGCTGGTGGCTCTCCTTGTGTCAATGCACTCCAGTGGCTGGTGGACCATCTTCATGGTGGTTGTGATGTCTAGCTGCTTTCATGGCAGCCGTGGTTACTGTGGTGGCTATGGTGGGCCACCCACATGGAGGTGATGTTTTTGGCCCCAATGCCTAGGTTCCACCCAATACCAAATCAGAATCTCTGAGGGTTGGATCCAGGTATAAGAATTTTATGCGCAGCCATAGTTGAGAACCAAAGCTCTTAGCATTCATAACTGTGAGTTACAAAGAGACAGTGCAGTAATGGGAACAGTAGCAAGAGGAAGATGACGGCAAATTTACATTTTGCTATGGTTAATGCACAGAGCAGATCATCTCCCTATGGATAATTGTTGACTTGAATGTTACATGGCTGGATACAGTGACTACTCTGGATAATAAGAATATGACTCAAAACATAAATAAAGAAATTTAATAGTACTTAAAAGACATTTTAAATAAATTATTAGTCCAAGATCAAATTTATTCACAGTATCTTCTTTAGTAGTCTATGGCTTGAGAAGTTATATATTTGTAACATTCTTTCTTCTTCTCTGCCTTTTACTGTAATTAATGCAGCAAACTCGAGGAAGAGGAAAAAGTCCTTGTTCTGTTTTTCTAAAAAGTGATTTCTTAAATGGTTTGTTGTTGTGATGGGTCATGACAAGGGAAGGTTGAAGGTGGTTGGGATCCATGACACTGTAGGGAATCTAGACGTTCTTCAGAGGAATGGGTGAGGATCCTAGATCTTCAATAAAGAAATAAGGTAAGGCAAAGAAAAGATCTAGGCAGCCAAGATGCAACAGGAATGGGCAATGGTTATTGTCTAATTGCAAGGCACTGTGAAAACATTCTGCTCATGTACTTAACTCTGACACAATATTTTGGTTATTTGAACTTTTCCATCTCTAATTGCTTACAAAAATTCCCAAACTGAGCATTTAACTGATCAAAAATAGAAAGGCCATGCTAAAGAACAAACTTATATTCTATAAATGCCACAACACAATCATAACCTAAATTGACTGGGTTGTTGTTCCTCACTTTGTTCTGTCACTTTCTCAATACTTTATAAAATGTTATTTTCTTAAGGTACTTCTTCAAAATGAATGTTGCCAAAATCTGAACTGGTACTGGAAAAAAACAGATTATTTGCAACAGAGAAAGAGAGGTAGAATATCTTTGTTACATAAAGCATTGTGGTTGCTTCCAAGTGATTTAAAAATCAATGTCCTAATGATTCTAATTTACTTTTTCTGCCAGATCCTTCAAAATTGCCTGGAATTTGTGAAGCAGTCTTTTTGTAGTAAATTCTAATTCTCCAATGTCTTAATTAGATATTAGCCATTTATTGGTATATGTATATGTAATTTATTAGTGCCTGAACCACTATCTTAAAATAATTAGCACTGTTCCACCAACTATAACAGCTCCTAAATGATAAACTACCATATAACTTCTAGATTGTTACTATTGCTTGGTGCCCTTCTTTGATATTATTGGTTTAATCCTAAAAAAAAAAAAAAAAAAAAAAA